ACACACACACACACACACACACACACACACACACACACACACACACATTCCACAGTGGATCTGCAGCTCGGCGGCTCTGGATGTTCGCTGCAGCCACATACCAACATTCCTCGCAGCCCAGTGCAGCGTTTCAGCTTCCTGAGCCGCTCACACACCGGGGCCTCCGCCGCCGCCGCTTCACACTCTCAAACCAAATCCCACTTAACGAGTCACTTGGTCTCATATTCAGCCTTAAAAAACGTGCTTTTCTGCCGGCGGGGTGAGATAATCCCTCTTGTTGTCAGCCTCCCCTCCGCTCAGGAATCTTTTCTGAAATGTGTCTCGAAACAGAATAATCCTGTTTCTGCATCTGTATCAAGAAGAATACTGATACAAGCTGATTCATATGGAAACATGAGATGGTGTAAAGCTAGTGGCTGTTTTTTTTAGGGCCTGTTTAATAAAAAATATAAATGTTATAGCGGTTCTTAACCGGTTTTCGCTTTTTTTGTACCTTTCCTAATTTCCGATTTAGAAAACAAAAGAAAATTTGACCTTTTTTAGTCAGTTAATGAATCTCGTTCTCTGTGCAGCTTCTGTTCTTACAGGAATAAGGAAAAACAAAACAAAGCAGAATCAAAAGAGTTATTAATAAAAGACAATTTGTATTGGAAATGTGAGATTATCTCAATCCAAGGACTGTGCTTATTTTAGGACAATAAAACATTTTAGGACGAGGATTTTGGAAGAAAATATTCAACATTTCTGGTCTAATAATCAGAAGCTGGTGCTCTAGTCTTCAATTGAAGACAGAACAAAGCAGATCTCTGCAGTAAAAATCAAGGAAATGACCCTTTAAAGGAAAGAAATATTGATTGATTTGCGTTGGAAACAAAGTTTTCTTAACCCACGGGCATTTTTTTGGCTTGTTTAAAGATTTTCCAGCTTCTGTAACTGCTGTTTTTCACTGTGTTTCCACTTGAGCTCCGCATTTCTTCATGAACAAGTCATTTCTTTTCACATACTGCCTCCAAAAAAAAAAAACGTTCTGTTTCTGTTTTTCCAAACAAGCTCAAACTCTGTCAGTTGGTGTGAGATAATCTCTCTCGTGCACTTTTTCTCTCGTTTCTGGAATTCATTTTCTCTCTGTAAATTTGTCAGCAGTACAATGTTTAATTGGAGCCGGTATTCTTAAAAAAAAACTAGTCTCATCTCATCTGATAGTTCTTCTGTAGGAGCATCGCTGATTGAAAAGGCTGCTTCTAGACGTGGCGAGGAGGGATTAGAAGCAGACGCGCGACGCGGCTCCCCGGGGTTCTTTCTTTCTGCGCCTCCTTCAGGGGTCTCCTTCTTTCTTTCCCCTCGGAGGAAATCTGCGTTTGTAAACCTGCGAGGGGGAGAGTCTGGGAGCTGGTGGCCGAGGCTTATATGCTGCCCCCCCCCCCCCCCCACACACCTCTGCACCTTGGTGCAGATGTAATGGGCTCCGAAACAACAGGCCTGTGACAACAACCCCCCTGAATGAATCATTTAAGGGGGGGAGCAATAATGGTAATCCTCCCTGCCTCCCCCGTCTATTGACACCCACACCGGCACACTGGGGGAATTATCGGCGTGAAGCTCGGGCTCAGCGGCTTTGCTGGCGAGGCCTCGCCACTAACGGCCGACAGCAGCCTCGACCGCACAAACGTCTACGCACAGACGCCAGACAAGTCCCCTGACATCTGGGAGCCAATCAGAGCCTAAAGAATATGTCAAAGAAGTGAAGGACTGGAAGATCCATTTTTGGACTTTAACGGAGGTCATGGTCATGTTTGCAGGAAATGCAGCATGGAACCATGAAACCTTCCTACATCCTACACGACACCTTTCTTGGTTTTACTGCTGGTGGACCGTTTGTTTCAGTGACTCCTCTGACTCCTGGTTTATGTTTTTTATACATATATACTGTATATATATATATATCCCAGCATGCTTTTTTGTAGTATTCCAACTCCTGCTTCTGTGACCGCAAAAATAATGTAAAGAGAACAATTAAAATGCCAAAAAATGAAGCCAACTAAAAAGCTAGCTTGAGAAAACGTATTCGAAGTCTGCTAGAAATCAAACATCCAGATTTCGTCAGCGCCGCAAAATTCTGAAGCGCCATGTGCAAAAAATGTGTCATAACGGCACAAAAATCACCAAAAGTACCACGGGCCAGGATTAATAAGAGCATCTTTAAAGTGTTAATTTACAATTAAAAGGGCTTCGTTTGAGGGCGCCCCCCGCTGGTTGGCTGAGGGCCAAACGCAGACGCTTACATCACTGGCATTTAATGCATCTGATTTTATTTAGTGTTCTTTGAATCCGGCAGCTCAGCAGGAAATCCTCCAACATTTACATCCCAAACTGTTTTTTTTGTTTTTTATCAATCAGGAAACACCAGTTCAAGTTTACCTGAAAGTGTTTTTCAAATAAATCAGCAGTTTTAACCAACATTAACTTAAATATACATATATTTACATTAAATTTGAAATGTGAAATTAAAATAGGGTGTTTGGTCCAGGCTGGTTGGATTGTATCAGGATGGACAAAAGGCGTCAGTGAGCAGCTCGTTACGCACACAACCACACAAGCTGCTGTTCAATGTCAGAAAATAATCAAAAATATCTGATGAATTAAAACAAAAAATAACTAAATGCAACCATTAAACAAAAAGAAAAAACATCTGCTCGATAAGACTTTTTCAAAAGACCAAACCAGTAAAAAAAAACCATCTGTTTAAACCTCTGAAACACTTTTTTTTTCCAAACCCTCCACTGAGCAGGATTTATAAAAGCGACTCTGTCTGCTGATTATTGGTTTTACTGCCCGATAATCTGATTAAACCTTAAAGCTCCTAAATGTTTCCTGCAGTTTCAGACCGTCTTCGAACGCGTCTCAACACAGACCGAACCTCCAACCAGAAAATCAAGATGACAAATCTGTTCATTTATTTTTTTTGTGCCAAATTTTGGATTCAACAAAGCTGCAGCAAAAAAATCAGAAGAGTCAGGAAAAAAAGATGACGAACCGAGACGTTTAAAACAGCCAACACCAACTAAATGTTCCACAGCGGATGAAACTGCATGATCTCCTTCCACTGTGTCCCTGGATCGATAAATCCACTCATTCAGAAATTGTTAAGAGTTAAATAGCAATGAATGATCTTCTTTCTGGATCATAAAGAAGGAATAACGGTTTGGTTATAAATAATTAAAATATGACATCTAATTTCATTTCCAAGCCAATCCTGGCAATGAAATGCATTTTAAATAATTGGTGGATTCATTTAAAAGAAATGTGTGTGTCAGATGCTGAAATAAAAAATATATATATTTAAATATAAATCAGTGTGATTCAATGTGTTTTACAATTTAAATCTATTTGTGTCGATGCGCTGGGGTTAATTCAGGAGATTAAGACGATAATTCCTACAAGAGGAAGCCAAAATCTGCAGCCAGAATCTGCATGAGGTTACACCCAAAAAAAGCTCTTAAATCCCCTTTTTCTAACCTCTGACCCCAAACACAACACTGCGGCAGAGGAAAAAACAGTTTTTTAAAGAGATAAAATTAGGTCAAATTTAAGTTACTAACGGATAAATATGCAAAGAGGTTTTATTTAAATTCAGGGATTTTGGGTCTGTAAATAAATCCCAAATAATTTAGTCACCAGTTCCGTCATCTGTGTAGGTGTGGAATGACATTTTCTGCTTACTGCAGGTCTGCTGCTGTGTCACCTCAGGTCACCTCTGACACAAACATTTTGGGTGTTTGTTTTTTCTGCAGAGACACATATCTGAGTCAGGCCTGCAGGTTCCTGCGTGAGGCCTGGACAGCAGCACAAAGGAAGCGATCCATAATTAAATCCACTTAGATTTTTTTAACAGAACAGGATCAAACCTTCAGGGTTCAATACAAGCAGCCGAAGATAAGAAGAAGAAAATGGGGGGGGGGGGGGGGGGGGG